AAATTTTCAATTGAAAAAAACGCCATTACTTATGTGTCAACCCAATATTTAACTTGTGACGCCATCAAGAATTCCGTTGAGTGAGATACCATGCATGTTGCACGCGACTTGAGCTTCGGCTGACCGATCGATACTTATTGTGATAATGTGCTCTTATGAAATCCCCACTCGGGACTCACCAACAAGTATGCAACTCGATTCAGCTGTTTCGCAAGGGCTTACCAGGGTTACAAAACTGACTCAACGGAGTCAGATAGCCCATCACGTTTCGCAACTCGTCGCCGATTGCTCACCCACCGCCGTACGCACCATGTCTCTCAAGTGCTTCATCGTGTAAGCGCAAGCGTTCCACCAAAACATCGTCTCGATTTCTTGACATTTGCGATTGCGATTGGGGTGAAGTACAGGAGAGGAGAAAAAAAACCGGTCTCGAATGTCCTTAAATGCTCGGCTGGTTTCCTCCACGGTTAAGAAGTGGAATCTTTTCAACGATCACAGCAGCGGCCAGAAGGATAAATGAAGTTTAGCCGTTGATCAATCCCTTTGTGGGATGCGGCACGCATTCTACTTCCATTCAGAATCGTAGTGGCTTATTGAATGCGATGTGGCCTATACAATGACTTGCGGGGCCAGCCGATGTACAAGTCAGTGTTCTTATCCTCCCAGACGGGTATGGTTCCAATGCACCCCCTCGGAGGATAAAAGGCTAGGTTGGTCTAAGCACGAGCCGATCCGGGATTTAATCCTCAGACCGTGCACTTGGTAAGCGTGCCACTTGCCACTACACAACCTCCGCCTCCAGAAGCGCATCCTTACTCTTTAGAAGCGTATAGTTCGCGGAATTGGCAATATGAAAGGCAAGTAATTCAGTTGTGTTTCTTTCATCGTGGTTGGAGGGACCACAAGTGGGTTCGCAGTCAAGCCAATAGGGAAAAGGTCGTATTCGGGGTCAGGCAACATCAAAGCAGTGGCGTTAAAATTTTTCGGAAGCAGCTGAGTTCTCTTCTACGGGGGAAGGGATGGGCAGAGGATTCGCGCTGCTGAAGAGTTTCAGGCGTGAAAAAACGTCACGAACTTGAAAATCAAATAGAAATTCTGGTCCAAGTAAGATGTCTCACACAAAGCTGCAGTGCAATCAGATAAACGTCCGCTTGCACTTCAAAAAGTTGAAACCGTCCTTCAGATAGTTAGAAATTTCGCAGCGCAACATTGAGCTGAGGAGAAGGCGCTTTCAGCGCCTGATTGAGGAGTGGCTTCTTTGTAAGCACCTGTTGGGTTTTTTTCGCCCACACCCTCCATACGGCTAAAATATAGTGAAAACGTGTAAAAAACTAATAAGACTTCGCAAAATTTTTTGTTGGTTTTTTTACTGTAACTACCGTAACGTGACGTTACCGTAACCAATACTATATCGTACTTTATTATGAAACCATTCTGTGCAGTACAGCTGTCAAAAACATCAGCGATCCGAAATGGAACTCGAAGGCATGGCGCTCTTTTAGGCCCTGATCATTCAACTCAAGCAATCCATTTACTTACGCTTTTCAAAGGCGAGGCACGTTCTAAAGGCGTACCAAAGTTTTAAATGAGCTTAGTTGCAATTCGAGAGGAGAGCAATCGAGTATTTGAGTGGTTTGGAATGTTCTCATCTCTTTAACTGGTGGCCTTCAAGAAACTTGAAAAAGTGCTTTGAAAAGCGAAGAACTTCTTCGTTCCATAACTGTTTTTCGTTCGAAAGCGGTCATGTATGATGAAAGTTGGAAAGGTTTTAATCATGAAAACGTATGATTTTTATATTTTTTATTAAAGATATTTCTCGAGGTAGTAAATATTCAAAAACACGTTTCATGCAGTTTAGAAACCACATCCTAGCGCTTGCATCACTGTACTACGCTTCCCATGTTATCCCTACTGAAGAAAGTTTGCAACTTTCCGTTTATCTCGGAAAATAATCTGCTTCACTGCCAGGGCACTCTATGCTCGCTCGAAGTATACTGTATCAATGATTGGCTTAGCTGGAAGGGTGGTACCAGTGTCCACGGGAGCTCGTACTGGTACCGCATTTTCCATTCAACATGATGTTCCCCATCCTTGATAGTAGATAGCTCGCAAGACTTGAACAATCGTTTCGCTAAAGCGAGAAACTGAAACCATTCCGATTTTTGGATTCCTGCACCTTAGTCCTGACATTAAATATTTTCATTTACCTCTTTTCTTTTTTTAGCTCAAGTTCAAAGTCATCTATTATTTAGCGTTTGGCGAAGAGCGTGAATGCGCCAGCAATATTTGTCTAAACGGTGGTGCATGTCTTGTGGACGACATCTCCAGACGATTTTCGTGCCGTTGTCCTCCAGGATTCGCCGGTTCGTTATGTCAGGAAGCGTGCACACTTGAGTGTGCGAACGGTGTTTGCGTGAAAGGAACACTGGGCAAGGAGCAGTGCCAATGTACACAAGGTATCCCGTTTCCTGGATTCTTCTTCTCTCCACAAATAACAGTGAAACTGGAAAATTTCCTTCAAAATCACTGGTTTATTGTAGGGTTCATTATAAAGTTACCGCAGAATATCATGACATGAGCTGAGCATTCTACAGTGATTCTTATCATTACGGGGGCATGATGGAGTCCAAAAAGTATTTCCATTAGGGGACAATCAGTGAGTGAGCTTTTTTACACAGTGATCGAGTTTGTCAGCATGAGCTCAAGCTGACAAACTCGATCACTGGAAGGGTGAATACCCCGTTCTCTGTAATACCAGATGGTAATGTGTCAAAAAAGTCGTAGGAACATGTGAATGGGATATCCGCAGTTTCACCAAGACATTACCATGAAAACCACAATGCTGTAACAGCTCTATAGGACAGGCGCTAGTGTGCACCCAGTGAAGCATAGACTCTTACTCCCTAGCACTGATAGAGTCGTGTAAACGGTTTCCTTTCACTGAATATATGACTTTTTGCAGTACCGCAGCTGTTTTTACCTATTTCTCATAACCCGATTCTTTGTAGGTTGGTCTGGCGCACTATGTGAAGTGTCCGGCTCTTCGCTGGAAGGATGCACGAGGACGGAAGACTGTGGATTAGGAGAAAGGTGAGGAACGAAAGGCTTGTAGCAGTACGTGGAAAGGGAACTTGATTTCTATCATCGAAGCAACCTTAACAGTCACTGCTCCTGGTGACAGAGTTCAGTTACAGTGGGCACCCCTTGCTTAACATCCTGTATCAGCAAGAGCCAGTTCTGTCCTATTGGGAGTCTGTAGCGGCATATCCGACCAATATCCTCAGCGAGAGCTATGTTTTTTAAGACTTCGTTGGAGCACCTCTGTCAAGCAGCAAGGCTACTAATCTGGTCTGAGTACTCCTACTTGACTTCTCTAAGTGGTGGCTCCCCTGAGCTTTGTGGTCTTTAACTCCCCTCGTCCTAGTTAAGTCGAGCGACACTAATGCCCTCAGAGATCCTTTACAAGAAGAGTGCTCGAAACGTTGTGAAGCTTTCCAAAAGCTTCACAAACAACTTATTCCTATGCCACCACTTGCTACTACAACTTTGCTTTGCAGATGTATTGAGAACGATCGGGGCCTGAAAATTTGCGCCGGCGATCCATGCGAATCGCGACCATGCAAAAACAATGCAACCTGTGTAGCTGACAATGTAAGTTTCCCTTCTTTGCCTTTTCTGCTATCTTTATTTTTTCTTTCACCTATCAAGGCACGTACTGCGGTGGGGGTAAATTTTGTAAAATGCTATCGCTGGGAAATTTCCTGCTTTGATACGGCTCCCTTTTTTTCCCATTTTGCCTACCGTCTTCCTAAACCCTCCTAATATCCAAGCACTTCTCCCGAATTTTTTTTCTCAGACTTCTCCAGTTTTCCCCCAAAAGCCTACGGTAGCGGCGGTGGCAGCGACGAGTTAGGGCGGGGTGGGGGCGTAACTTGGGAGGGTATATGGCACACGTGAAACGGGAATAACCGAGAAAGTCAACGACCGGAAACAGTTTAGGCTGGTACGACTTCCCCCCCCCCTTCAGCTACCAATTACGACCCGTCTTAGATGGGAATCCCCAAGATACGACGTGCCTGATACCGATGTAGAAGCTGCCGAAAGTGAACAGATGTTAGATGAAGCAATGGGCGTTCAGATGGGCGTTTAGATGTCCTTTCAGGATGTCGTTTTCGGTTGTAATCGTTCCTGTAGTAGTTGTTCCACAACGAAAGGGGGCTCCAAGGTAGGAGCGCCTCACAAATCACTAGAAATTTTCAGTTCAATTCTATAATTTTAATTTTCATTTATGATTCTATAATTTTAATCTGAATTTATAATTCTATAATTTTTTTCCATTTCCCCTCAAGGAACATCTTGTGCTTTCAGGTGACGTGGCCCCATTTCCTCAAAGAATTACCTTGTTTCACAATTAGTGTACTGTTGTTGAAGTATTGCCTGTGTGAGGCAATAACTGTGCGCCAATTCTATCCAGTACTTTTCATTTCAGAGTTGATTGGCCACTAACTGGACTCGCGCGTGGCCTTTTAGTGAGATTAATGGGTCAGGTGTTTTGGTTCTCATTGCGGTTATCTCTTCAGTCTCGTTCGTTCTTCCACGGAAGAGATTAATTTTTGATTTCGTCATTACTGTGACGACGAACACGGGAGGAAATCCTCTTCTGAAAAGGACATAGAGTTGCAAACTTGCTGAATCCCGGTTTCCTATTGTCCCGCAGACATATGGTCCTCATCATTGCGGACTGTCGGAGGGCGGCTGTGCAACGCGGTCCAAATGGGCGTTCGGCCTCGTTGCTCTACCAATGGCGATCGGGTAAAGATCGATTTAGGGAGGGAGCAACCAATGATGGAAACGCCGCAGGTGCGAGCCGCTGATTGCGACCCGACAATTGCGGTGATGTAAAGTGTATCTGGACGGAAATATGCTGGTAATAACGAATCCTGTCTCACGTGTAGTATATCAAATCCAGTGCAAATTTAATCTATCCAAATGTTTAATCCCTTCGATTACAAAACTTTTCTTCACCTCTAAACTCATATTGGGGGACGAACATTGGCTGGTGTTCCAAATCGCATTTACATACCTCCTGAACACCCTCTGGGTAGATGCCGAATGCATGGCGCATTCCCATTGACCAGTGATCAGCACCGCATGTCCGTCTTTTATGCCTTTGAACCATCTCTTACCTTCTTCGAAATTGATGTGAAAATTACTTTCAGCGGAAGTGGTGAACATCTTAGAAGCGCCACTTTTGGAAAAGAGATGATTTTGTTAGCGAGTAATCAATACATATGTTTTTGGCGAATCGAAAATTCACTTCAGGATTCTTTTCAATGCGTATGTCAATCGGGATTTGCTGGTAGACTGTGCGATTCGGACATCAACGAATGCGAACTAATGCCGTGCCAAAATGGAGGGACATGTATCAATGTGGAAGGCTCGTTTGAGTGCCTTTGTGAGGCCAAATACAGTGGTGAGTTGTATTGAAAGGCAGATCAAGCAGTGGAACACTAGGCACTAGCCTTCCCGTGTCCGCGTAATGTAATGCGCAGAACTGCGGGTAATGCACTCGGCCCTATCTATGTGAAAGCATGTGGTCCACAAGCTGAGAGCTCTAAGCGGAAATATACAGCTCGCTTGGCACACATGTGTGACACTCCTACGCTCATCAGGGTACATCAAGGGCATTTGCCAGCTGCTACCCCTCCCCTCTGGGAAGGGAGTTCCCCGATGGTGATGGGACCCGGCCCTCAGAGAAGATTTTCCAAAGCTCAGTGATGATAAGCAACAATGTTGATTATTATTATTATTGTACGTAGGAGAAGCGCGACGTCATCAGCCGCAACGCGTTGACCCTCTGGCACTGATCTGATGCTGACGCAGCTAACTTGTCAGCTTTATCGTAGAAAGTCAATGGAATGTGCTTTTTCCAGGCGCACAATGCGAGTTTGAGGCGGTAACATGTGCTGCGAGTCCTTGTCTTAACCAAGGAACTTGTATTGATACACAAAACGGTTTCTATTGCATTTGTCCGTATGGTTTCGAAGGAAAAACATGCCAGAATGAGGTAAGAATCCAACCTAAAAGACTAAACTGTTAGTTTCTCTCAGAATACCATTCTTTCAGAGAACCACCTCTATGTGCAGGTGTCCAAATTCAAAGCATAAGTGTACATTAGTGGATGGCAAGCCGTCTTGTTCATGTCCTCAAGGTTTTGCGGTAAGTCTATTCAACCAGTAGCATCTAAAGCAGTAGATACGTTGTTGGGCTCTGAGGCTTCATGGATGATTCCCTAGACCTTTCTGTGCTCCGTCTTTGCAGATGAGCCTTCTAGCCGACAGTATTCGCTGCATTCAAGATGGTTGACTGGTTTGTATCTTACAAGTCAGCTGAAACCAGAACGAAACCTCATCACTTCAGGGTCCGACATGTGAGGAAAGTGTACGTGGATGCGACTCTGAGCCGTGTCGAAATGGTGGACGTTGTCAGAACATTCCCGGTGGATTTCAATGCTACTGTTCGCCGGAATATGGAGGCGAAA